AACTGACCATTCTTGTAAGGGTTTATTGTTGGACTTTAAATGATATTTTATTGATGTGTGTCTATCCTTATACCACTGCTACACTATCTTGCTACTATAGCCTTTTTAAAAAGATTTATTTATTTATTTATTTATTATGAGAAATAAAGAGAGAGAGAGGCAGAGACACAGGCAGAGGGAGAAGCAGACTCCATGCAGGGAGCCCGACGTGGGACTCAATCCTGGGTCTCCAGGATCAGGCCCCGGGCTGAAGGTGGCACTAAACCACTGAGCCACCAGGGCTGCCCCGCCTTTTTTAATCATAAAGGAGTATTAGATTTTGTCAATATTTTTTCAGCATCTATTGAGATAATCATGCACCGTTTGTCCTTTTGTATTTTATATGATATATTACATTGATTGATTCTCGGATGTTAACCAACTTTGCATTTCTGGAATAAATCCCTCTTGGTCATGGTGTGTAATCCTTTTTATTTGTTGCTGGCATCAGTTTGCTTATATTTTGTTGAGGATTTTTTTTGCATTTATATTCATAAAAGCTGTTGGTGCATAGTTTTCTTTTCTTATAATATCTTTGTCTGGTTTTGATATCAGTAATAGCAACCTTATAGATTAAGTTGGGAAGTAGTCCCTTATAGTTTTTGGAAGAATTTGTAAAGAATTGGTATTACTTTTTCAACATAATTGTTTTGATTTATTTTACAGCTTCCTTTATAGTTAAATTGTAGGTATCGTTATAAATGGGAGCAGGAAGGTGGTGTTCAATGCTGATCATCACCTGTAGAACAACTGACAGTGAAAGTACAGGACTCCAACTAAAAGTGTCAAGTCCTTATTCTACCTACTTCTACTAAACGGTGCTGGATTGCATTACTGGAGGACACTCTTAATTGCAGAAACAAATAATAAAGGCTTTTATATCTTGAATTCCGAACCATAGTTGGAAGATGCTTTTGGTGCTATTTTCCTCATTGGAACCATGGGTACATGGCAAACTTACTATACCCACTTTGAAAACTCTTACCTCTAACTTATTGGCACAAATTTGTTCAGAAACATAATTTATCTTTCGATGGACACCGAGGCTCCTTCCACAGTTTGGCTATTGTGGACATTGCTGCTAGAAACATCAGGGTGCAGGTGTCCCGGCATTTCATTGCATCTGCATCTTTGGGGTAAATCCCCAGCAGTGCAATTGCTGGGTCGTAGGGCAGGTCTATTTTTAACTCTTTGAGGAACCTCCACACAGTGTTCCAGAGTGGCTGCACCATTTCACATTCCCACCAACAGTGTAAGAGGGTTCCCCTTTCTCCACATCCTCTCCAACATTTGTGGTTTCCTGCCTTGTTAATTTTCCCCATTCTCACTGGTGTGAGGTGGGATCTCATTGTGGTTTTGATTTGTATTTCTCTGATGGCAAGTGATGCAGAGCATTTTCTCCTGTGCGTGTTGGCCATGTCTATGTCTTTGTCTGTGAGATTTCTCTTCATGTCTTTTGCCCATTTCATGATTGGATTGTTTGTTTCTTTGGTGTTGAGTTTAATAAGTTCTTTATAGATTTTGGAAACTAGCCCTTTATCTGATACATCATTTGCAAATATCTTCTCCCATCTGTAGGTTGTCTTTGAGTTTTGTTGACTGTATCCTTTGCTGTGCAAAAGTTTTTTATCTTGATGAAGTCCCAATAGTTCATTTTTGCTTTTGTTTCTTTTGCCTTCGTGGATGTATCTTGCAAGAAGTTCAAAAAGGCCGAGTTCAAAAAGGGTGTTGCCTGTGTTCTCCTCTAGGATTTTGATGGAATCTTGTCTCACATTTAGATCTTTCATCCATTTTGAGTTTATCTTTGTGTCTGGTGCAAGAGAGTGGTCTAGTTTCATCCTTCTGCATGTGGATGTCCAATGTTCCCAGCACCATTTATTGAAGAGACTGTCTTTCTCCCAGTGGATCGTCTTTCCTCCTTTATCGAATATTAGTTGACCATAAAGTTGAGGGTCCATTTCTGGATTCTCTATTCTGTTCCATTGATCTATGTGTCTGTTTTTGTGCCAGTACCACACTGTTTTGATGACCACAGCTTTGTAGTACAACCTGAAATCTGGCATTGTGATGCCCCCAGCTATGGTTTTCTTTTTTAAAATTCCCCTGGCTATTCGGGGGCCTTTTCTGATTCCACACAACTTGGTGTCCATTGAAAGATGAATGGATAAAGAAGATGTGGTCTATGTATACAATGGAATATTACTCAGCCGTTAGAAATGACAAATACCCACCATTTGCTTCAACGTGGATGGAACTGGAGGGTATTATGCTGAGTGAAATAAGTCAATTGGAGAAGGACATTATATGGTCTCATTCATTTGGGGAATATAAATAATAGTGAAAAGGAATAGAAGGGAAGGGAGAAGAAATGGGTAGAAAATATCAGAAAGGGAGACAGAACACGAGAGACTCCTAACTCTGGGAAATGAACTAGGGGTGGTGGAAGGGGAGGAGGGCGGGGGGTGGGGGTGAATGGGTGATGGGCAATGAGGGTGGCACTTGATGGGATGAACACTGGGTGTTATTCCATATGTTGGCAAATTGAACACCAATAAAAAATAAATTTATTATAAAAAAAGAAACATAATTTAAACAAAACAAATGAGCAGAAATAAAGAAAAGAAAGAGATTGGAAAACCAAGAAACAGACTCTTAAATATAGAGAACAAACTAATGGTTACTAGAGGGGAGGTGGGTGGAGACATAGGTTAAATATCTGATAGGGATTAAGGAGTGCACTTGTGATGAGCACCAGGTGTTGTATCGACGTGAGTCACTGTACTGTAAACCTGAAACCAATATTATGCTGAATGTTAGCTAACCAGAATTTAAATAAAAACTAAAAAAAAGAACCTGTTGAGAAGTGTTATACTGACCTTTTCTTGAGTAAAAGGGTCTGAAAACAAGGAGAGTTTGTTGAATTCCAGACATCATATAAGGTAATCTGAATAATAAATATCTAAATTGTCTTCCTACATGTTTCAAAGTACTTTTGGTTATTAATCACTCTACCAATTCAGTGAGGAAAATTAGCACTGAAGAAATAATAATAACTAATATGTACTAATTAATGATTATAATGTGCCAAATACCATTTTAAATTCTTTACATATATTATTATCCTCCTATCTTATGAAGTCAATACTAATTATTAGTATTATTATACTTAATTATTATACTTAATTATTACTTAATAATAATAATTATTATTATTATTTATTTTATTCACTACTTTACAGTGGAATATTATTCTCTACTTCACAGATGCAGAAATTCAGAAACAGTGAGGTCATGTGGTTTGCTTCCTTTCATGGTAGAGCCAGGATTTGACCTGGGTTATGTGACCCGATAGCCTACCCTGAACCAGAAGTTAGAGTGGATTAGGCATATTCCAGAGCAGAGATTCAGATTCTGGATTACAATTTTTGAGTTTTTAAGTCATGTGCCTCTCTCTTGATGAAAACTAATACTTAAGAAATGTTAATACAAGGTGTGTAAGATGGTGCTAAGGATTTGAAATTAGACAGTCTCGCTCTGCAGGGATAATGTAATAGGTTAACAAAATAAATATTTAGCATTTATCAAGTGCTATGTTTCATGTCAAGTGATTCACTTGTATAAATTAAGTGAGTCTGCAAAATAACTCTGTGAATTAAGTATTATTATTATCACTTTTATTTATAGATGAAGCCACTCAAGCAAGTATATATAATTTGCCCGAGGTCAGTTAGCAATAAGTGCCATAGCTCAGATTTGAACCTAGATGGTTTTGCTTCAGAGTCTCTGTTCTTAATCATTTTGCTATGCACTTTCTCTAGGTAAATAGTCAGTCACCAGACATTTTGTCACAACAGTGCAGTCACAGGAAGAAAGCAGTGATAAGATTGGATCATCATGTTTATGCATGTGGAGGCTGGAGCCACTTCTGTAGGAAAGACATGTATTGTGGCTGAGAGGAGGGCTCTCTGCAAATTTGAGGCAATCTGAAACAAACATGGAGATAGGGAGAGAAAAATTACTTTTAAACAGAAGACTTTTTGCTCCTTAACAGAAGATGGGAATAGACCGAGAGGGTGTGGTGCACACTGAAGCTGTGCCAGCGTGGTCCCGAGGGAGCTGTGGTTTGGGAGGGTTTGGAGTCGTTGTACCTCAGGAGTGAAAAAGGGACAGATTGAAAGAGCGATTTTAGGAAATGAGTCTGATAAACTCAATTAGGATGCATAGAGGTTGTTAGAAAACAATACATTTATAGAAATTTTAATTATGAGTGTTTTGAGTAATCTAAGAGCATCTGAAAATTACCAGGAAAAACTTGAGGGTTCGGGTAATTCTTTTTTTAGTGGCAAAATTATAATAGTTTTCTTTTTCTTGTGGCAGTGACATCAGAGATTGGGGTTTATTCAGCACTTTTCTTCATGGGAACACAAATATTTCCCATTGTTGTAGAATTTTCCTGTAGAGCATTCCCCCACCAAAGCAGGGCTACGTGTTCGGATCCGTGTTTGAGTGGGAAGCAGGTAGCCGCAGAGCCAGTCGGTGACCAGAGAGCTGTATGCATGTGGACAGCTTTCTTCCAGATGTGTGGGTCTTCTGGTCTGCAATCCTGGTGGACTTCTGAGTTTCTTTGTCTCCTCAAACACGTGTTCCCTCACCTCTTGGTTGGGAAGGCATTGTTAATGTCTTTTGAGTTTGAGGCAATTTGCAACTTTAAAGGATCATCAAATCACAATAAATCTCACGTAATGTTTTCAACGAGATGATTGTTAAGTTGAAGTTTCTATTTTTACCAAAAAGAAAAATTATATTTACATAAAAAACGAATAAACTAATATTGCCCGCCCATCCTATTTCTCATGTGCAAACAAGGATCAGTGAGAGTCAAATGCCAACTACAGAGACTTAAAAAAATACTCTTGGTCCATTTCTACTTTTAAGGTAACCTGGTGGTTTCTTTTCTTAAGTCCCCACACAGGTATTCAGGAATATCAGGATGGTGTGCCGAAAATCCCAACAGCTTGTATTACGGTGGAAGATGCAGAGATGATGTCAAGAATGGCTTCTCGCGGGAACAGAATTGTTATTCAGCTGAAGATGGGAGCAAAGAACTACCCAGACGCTGATTCCTTCAACACTGTAGCAGAGATCATTGGAAGCAAATACCCAGAGCAGGTGAGTGAAGGAGGTGCATAGGCTGTCTGGGAAGCAAGCCTCAGCTTTTAGAGATGGTTGGGAAAAAAAGAGAACATGAATCTACAGAGATGGTCCTTATAAACTCATTGAAGGCAGGACACACACACACACACACACACACACACACACACACACACACACGTATTTCCCACCAAAAGTTTTACAACAAATTGAAGAGTGAAATAGGATCCATGGTATGGGAATTCACCCTCTGAGTAGCGGCTCACACACAGACACACACATATATACATGTGTACATATATATATTAATAGATATTATTTTTAAAAATATTTATTTATTCATGAGAGACACACAGAGAGAGGCAGAGACACAGGCAGAGGGAGAAGCAGGCTCCATGCAGGGAGCCTGACGTGGGACTCGATCCCGGGACCCCAGGGTCACACCCTGGGCTGAAAGTGGTGTTAAACTGCTGAGTCACCTGGGCTGCCCTAGTTATTATTTCTTGAGGCTTCCAGTCCCGGGCAGGGGAGGTTAGGATTACCTGTGACCAGTCATCTGGGTGAGTGGGCTGCTCTGGCCCTGAGGCTGAGTGGCAAGAAGAGTGTGAGTTATCGGGAGCCTTAGTCTGAAGCAGCAGGGGGTATCGAGGCCTGAGCTAAGGTGTTGAAGCCGAGGAGTTCTTGAGCTGTCGCAGCCAGCGCCCTGAGGTAGTGCTGGCTCACACAGCTTCCTAAGGGCCATTGGCATCTTCTGGGTGGGAATGTTCGGGCCTACTCCTAAGCCCAGGTCGATTAAAAAAAAATCAGCTTTATGGAAGTATAATTACCTAAATTTACCAAATTTAAGTGTACAATTCAATGAGCTTTGAAAAATGTATGCAATAATGTAACCACTACAATGATCATAATATAGAATATTTTCATCACTACAAACATCGCCTCATGTCCCTTTGCTGTATATCTCCTCCTCCACTCCCCTGCCCCCAGTAACTACGGGTCTGCTTTCAAGAACCATCATTTTTCCTTCTCTAGAATTTCATAAAAGTGGGATCCCTGCGTGGTGCAGCGGTTTGGTGCCTGCTTTTGGCCCAGGGCGCAATCCTGGAGACCTGGGATCGAATCCCATATCGGGCTCCCGGTGCATGGAGCCTGCTTCTCCCTCTGCCTGTGTCTCTGCCTCTCTCTCTCTCTCTCTCTGTGACTATCATAAATAAATTAATTAAAAAATTAAAAAAAAAAAGAATTTCATAAAAGTGGAATCATAGAACATGCCGTCTTCCGTGTCTGGCTTATTTCACTCATATAATGCTTTTTGAGATATGTCCATGTTGTTTTATCAATTGTCCTATTTCTTTGTATTGTTCCTGAGTGATATTTGGTTTCATGGATATACCACAATTTGTTATCCACTCAGCAGTTGTGAGACATCTGGGTGGTTTCTAGCCTTTGATTTTTAGGAGTAAAGCTTCTGTGAATACTCTTGTACAAGTCTTCCCATGGACCTATGTTTTCATTTCTCTCTGGGTCAATGCCTAGGAGCAGAATTGCTGGGCCAGCCTGAATTTTAAGCCCGCTGGTCTCCATCAGGATGCTTCAATCTCTGTGTTCTGTGGAAGTAGCATCTTTTCTAAGTGGGTAGTAGATGCCAGAGAGTTTCCAAGATGCAAGAGTAAACTTTTACCTCTACCATGGCATTGCATAGCATTGCAGAAGTTGGTTATGAATACGTCGTTACCAAGATATATGAGGTAGAAGAAGAACAAAAGTTCTCCCACAAAGAAGTGACAATTGCTTCCACAGAAGGAATGTGGACGAGCGCAGGGAGTCTATGTGACTGTGTCTGGGGGAAGAATCCGCCTCACAGTCTGCTAGAAACCACGGGGAGGGGATGTCCAGACTGTGAGGGGAAGCAGCAAGCGTGTGTTCTCTCCAGGCACGAGGTGCATTAATGAACCTGAGCAAGCACAGTCCAGCCCTTGTGTGACACTTCCCCGGGTTACCTTCACCACATCCCAGCCCTGTATGTGCTCCTGGTATCATCTCCCGCCGCAGGTTGCTAATGCCCCAAGCGCACCCTCTGTTTCCTTTTTTTCTTGCGTTTCACTAATGCCTGTCCCAGGACTTGGCCTGTCGTAGCTTCTCAAGACATATTTTGCTTTAGTAAAATGAAGACAGGAAGTAAGGTTGGAGAATTTTCATAATATCAATTCCTTTGAAATCAAGAGGTTCTCCTGCCCATTTAGAATACTGATCGTCCGTTGGCATGTGGGACATCAGTGCAGCTCTGTATTGTCCAGACCTGCACTCTTCAACCCTTCGTACGTGATCACTCGCCTTAGGTTCTTGTCTTGAAAAGAACCATGTTTACCTGTCAGCACGGTGAGAGCTCTTCACATTATTTTTCATTTTCTCCTCTTTATCGCTGTCTAACAGCCAAGTACCACATCCTATTAAGTCTACTTTCAGCATATTTAAATCTGTTCCATCGTGCCTTCACTGTCATTAGTGCCCTAATTCAGGCCCTTGCTACCCGCCCCCCTCTGATTTTTTTCTTCTTCTATTCCCTCTATTTCTGTATTTTCTCAGTGCAGCTCAGAGCTGCCTTAAAATGCTGATCTCCACCTGTTCTTTCCCTGCTGCCAGACCTCCTCTCCTGTTCCCTATAGGATACAGGTTCTGATAAACATAAACACTGAGGTGAGCAGAAGACGGTGGGGGGAGGCAGTTATAGGTAAGAGGAAATTAGGTAGTACCGTCTAGAAACAAGCAGAAAACGAGAGTGAAGGAGCAGAAGGAAATGTCTGATGGTGGTTCAGATGCCAACTAAGAACTATTCCTTCATTGGCTGGTGAGGGAGTCTAGCTCTCCTAATTGCTGGCAAAATTTCCAAAAATCATTCAGCTTTGCTTTTAATTATCAGTACAGTAGTCCCACCTTATCTGTAGCTTCGCCTTCCACTTCTGCCGTTTCAGTTAGCTGTGGTCAAACCAGTCTGGAAGCAGGCGCTCCTTCTTCTGATGGACGATCAGAAGGTCAGCAGTAACTTAAGGCTATACCACATGCCTATGTCACTCCCCTCTCTTTGCCTCGTCGCGTAGGCATTTAATCATCACACATCATCACAAAAAGAAGAGTGAGTACAATACAGTAAGGTACTTAGGGAGAGAGACCACGTTCACATGACATTTGTTACAGTATGTTATAATTGTTCTATTTTATTGTAAGTTATTGTTGTTAATCTCTCTGCCTAATTTACAAGTTAAACTTTATCATAGGTATGCATGCGTAGGAAAAACCATACTATATATCAGGTTCGATGCTGTCCATGGCTTCAGGCATCCCAATCTTGGAATGGGTCCCCCATGGATAAGGAGGAATCTGCTATAATGGCGACAGTGACATAAGCATTAGGTTGTTTAGGTTGACGGTTTAGGTTGACTAACTTCTCTGACACGTCTTCCTTTCCCTGCTCCATGTCCTACTAAAGAAGAATGTTAAATTTTGCTGAGCAAATTACTTGCAATGGGAATTATCTTTAAAAAGAAGAATTTTGCAATTACTCTTATTCTGCTCGCAGGTCAAAGATCCTGGGTGACTTGAAGGGAGGCTAACATGCACGCAGTGGCTGACAGACACTCTTCAGTGCCAACACCCAGCACAACCCCTTACATCTCATTATTCATACAGAGCACCTTAATGAAAGGAAAGCAATTAGCACATAAAGAATATTCTGATTTGGCCCAAGAACCACGGACAAGGTGTGGTGATTTTCAGCTCTTAGAAAAGCGCTTATGTGATTGATGAAGCGTTAACACATTTCAAAACCCTATCGCATAGTTCAGCCATAAGTCATAAATACTGAATTAACCTTAGGCTTTTAAAAAATACCAGTAATACAAATACTTTGTTGAGCTTCAATATGTGAAAATGGCAGAGTTAGGGGTATTATGCACATTAACTCTACCCTCTTCCCAAAGATCCCAAAATGACGCGCTTTGATTTCCTCCCAGTCCACTATTCTCTTTGCACTTTGACCTGCTCAGAAACTGCTCTTCTGTGATTAGGGCATGTTGTGGAGGCTTCAGCAGAGCTTGAGGAGATGAATTTCATCGGTGGAAAATGGTCCTCTGGAAGCTTTGACTTTAGGCCTCTGAACTCCTTCCCCTCGGATAGCTTTACTCCTGGGAAACCGTGCCAGCTTGGAGGCCCATCCATGGTCGAGGATGAGTCTGAGTAAGCGGGGACAGGAGCACTTTGACTTCTGAGCTAATCCGTTCTGGTGCTACGTAGCAGTAGTATGTCTGCTCTCCATTTTTTAAGGAACTAATTTGCATTGAAAAATTCGTAGGAAACTTGTTGCCATCCATGAATAGGTCTCGTTTTTTTTGTTTTTGTTTTTTTTTTTTTTTTTATTTGTTAAGTCAATAGAGAATAGTCTTGGGCAGGGAGGTAGGGGTCTTAGCAAATCTAACACCAATTCCCTGATCTTCAGATGAGGAGACTGAATCCACAAGCAATTCGTCCCAGTGGACACAGCAAATGCTTGACAGGAATGTGTCTGGAATGTGACTCCAGATATCCTGACTCCCACTTCTTTCACCCTCAAAGTTAACCCATCGTGCCTGGCCACACCTTAGCTGGATCGAGTGTGAATCCGAGAGACATAGGTCAATTCAGGATACAGGCAGTGCCAAGTCATTACACAGGAGAAATTTTGTCTTCCTGTCATGCTTTTTCTCCTGACGTCTCCTTCCTAGGTACAAAATGCTCTTACAGATCTTGCCCGTCGTTGTCGCAGAGTTTTCTGAGAGGTCTCATAAGAGTCATGACTTGGGCGAGCCGCCTATGCTGTGTCCACTCTTCTATGCATCTCCGGCAAGTCTTGCTTGAGTCTCATCCCTCCTGAGCTCCTTGTCACTTTGGAAGAGGATCTGATAGGTAAACTTCTACGGCATTAATTCTTGATGAGGCCCCGATCCTCCATGTCTCCGTTCATACTCCTTCTCTCTCCCCAGTCG